TGTCAACTTGGATGAACTTAGCTAAAGAAATCAATCAAAATGCATTTATTAAGTGTCTATGATGTACCAGGCACTGTTCTAGGCATTAAGGCTACAAAATGCAAAGGAAACAGTCTTTCCTCGAAGAGAGCTCACATTCTATTCAGTAGAGATATACATATCCACTGTACATATATATATACATATACAAATACATATGTTGATCATAAAAAGAATAAATATAAAGAGAATAACTATACATACAAAGCAGTTAAGTTCAAAAAAGGAAGAACAGGAGGGGAAAAGGAAGAAAAAAGACTAAAATTAGACAAAAGTAGTGTAAGAATATAAAGGCAAGAAAGTGGCTATTGCAAGGGAGCCAAGAAAAAATGCAAAATAGCCTTGATTGATGTCAACAGAACATAAGTACCTGATCAATTGAATAGTAATGTTTCCCAAATACAAAGAAAAAGCCACATAAAAGAGTCAACATGGAGAATTTCCATTAGCTGAAACCTTATTTGAGAAAAAAAGAACAAGTTACACAATCTGTGATAAATGAGTTTGGTTTTTTTTTAATGAAAAATAAATTCCAGGTGTTTTGAGAATGCTATAGGCCATTACCTTAAGCTTTTTTAACCCCTTCATTTACCTGAATGAGTGTGAATCCTCCTCTTCCCTCTATCTCAAAGTGTTAAAGCACCTCTACATAACCAAGAATGGGAACAGGATTAAACTGCCTTCACAAAGGGGACCAAGTGAATCACTGTAATAGCAGAACAATAAGGACAGAAAAGTGGAAAGGACCAGAAGTTCAAATATTCATACTAGGGCCAACAGATGTCCAAAGACTTTTACATAGAGCGATTCAATCCATTCCTAGCAATATGCAGTTACTTTCTATGGACATTGTCAGATCTGGCCCATTATAAATAGCCTGAAGAGAAATGGGAGATCAATACTAAATTAGTTTGAAAGTTTGGGTTTCTTACCTAGAGGGGCTGAAGAACAGGACTTTGTTACTGTCAGTGGTTTATTGAATGGCAGAAGTTTTCCTTCAATCAATAAACCCATAAGCATATATTACATGTCTATGTGCCAGGCTCGGGACTGAAAAAAGTATGAGGCTAAAATGGAGGCTACCATTAGTGTCATAAAAAGTATAAGGTATTTATACATTTATACATCATGACTTAATAGACAAAACAAATTTTGTCAATCCAACCAATTGAGCATTATTCTATGCCAGATACTATGCCAGGCTCTAGAGAAAGGTAAAATAGTCCCTGCTATGGAGGAGCTCACATTCTAAAGATCAGACAATATTTTTCTATATAAATATCTACATATACATACATACATACATATATATATATATATACCACACACACACATATATATATACACACAGAGACAGATATACATACTATATATGTATATAGAAAACACGTGTAAGATATGTGTGCCTGTGCACACACACGGAGTATCTAACTGTAAAGGTACAGGTTGTGGGTGACATAGTTAGATATCTCTGGACACTGGCCAATTCCTATTCTAAACTATTGTTTCTACCTTGAAAGAAGCAGAAGGACCTTTTTTGGGTACTTGTTCCTTCCCTCAGCTATGTCCAAGAAGGGTATCAGTCTAGATTTATAACTATCTCTTCCTCCTCTCAGATACTGCTGGTCCTGGAGTATGATTTTTAGGGGTTCAGAAGAAAAGCTATTTCCCTGGTTGCTCTTAAAATGAAGGGTAGCCCTTTAACTTAAACTCACCAGTTTAACTCTTTTCTACCAAACAAAGATTACACAAAAGACCCTCACAAATAATGAGTAGCAAGTAAACTTGTTCATCTAAGCCAGGAATGCACAACATGCAGCTTGCCAAAGGATTTCAGGCAGCCCTCGAAAAATGTAGAGGATGGGGGGGTGGAGCCAAGACGGCGGAGGGAAAGCAGTGACTTGCTACAGCTCTCCCCCAAACCCATCCAAATACCTATAAAAAATGGCTCTAAACAAATTCTAAAGCAGCAGAACCCACAAAAAAACAGAGTAAAACAAATTTCCAGCCCAAGACAACCTGCATGGCTGATCGGAAAGGTGTATGGCACTGGGCTGGGAGAGGAGCACAGTTCAGCCTGGGCGCAGCAGGCCTCAGAGGACTGAATCGTGGGCAGCTGTGGTGGTTTCCAGACTTCTCAACCCACGAATGCCAAAGACAACTTAGAAGGTCAGTGGGAAAAGTCTGTGACTGTGGTGAGAGAAGAAGCTAGGTTTCAGCCGCAAGTCCAGAGCGTGCCCTCGGGGCAGCGGCTGCATCCTGAGCTTCCAGCCCACAGACTGAGGGGGAATCGAGTGCCTGATCAGAGGGGGATTGCAAAGATCTCTTTGCCAGGGCTGAGGCAGAGATCTCTTGCTTTGCCCGTGCTTGGATCTGAGTCACAGTTCTGAGGGGCGGTCCTGGGGTGAGGAGGAGCGCTGGTGTGGTGGAGTTTGTTGTGGTGGTGGAGAGGAAACACCTCGCCCCTTATCATAGCACCTTGGAAGAACTGACACTTTCCAGATCCCTAGAAGTTTCTCTGAAAACAGCTGTACAAACCCCCGAAGCTTGGAACAGTACATTCTCCACATTGGAAACAGACTCTTACCTTAACAAAGAGTTTAAAACTCAAGTAACTGGTTGGGATCATGAGCAAGCAGCGCAAAAAGAGTCAGACTATATTATCTTACTTTGGTGACAAAGAAGATCAAAACATACAACCAGAAGAAGAAAACAAAGTCAAAGCTCCTACATTCAAAACTTCCAAGAAAAATATGAATCAGTCCCAGGCCTTGGAAGAGCTCAAAAGTGATTTTGAGAAGCAAGTAAGAGAAGGAGAGGAAAAACTGGGAAGAGAAATGAGAGTGATGCAAGAAAATCATGAAAAATGTAGAGGATGTAAAAGAAGGTAAAGACGTAAGGAGAGCTCTATCCCTGCCCTCTTATCCAGCCTTGCACTAGTCCCTGTTGTGCCCGTCATGTAACTTGGCAGATGGATTGCCACTGAGCACTCTCTCCTATTTGTCATGTGATCCTCGGCAACCAACCATCATCAGTCTGTCTCTAGTTAATTTTATGTGGAAGTGAGTTGCTAAAAACCTATCTTCCCCACAGAAAGTTTAGCCTATTTTAATTTTGGCCCCTACCTACTGCCAAGTTGTGCAGGTCTGACCTAAGCAAACAGCAAACAGAAACCAGAAAAGTTCTACACATTACAATATACCAAAAAACACACAAAATGAATGAACTCTTTAGCTGAGAGCGAGATGAGATCTCAGCTTTAGATCAAAGACAGGACCCAATATGACCTAAAAGAAAGTCTTCAAAGTCTTTAGTGAGGCAAAGCGTAAAACAGGGACATTTTGAGGAGCCCTCTTCTACATATCTGCCATTCCCAAAGTCCTTCTGAGTATATCTTTTCTCAAACAATCTCGCAAAGTTCTACCTCTTACACAGGAATAAGGCGTTGTCTCAGCATTCTTTCACCAATTAGGTGTCATTTCTCCCAAGCTTGACTGGTAGCCGAGTTACTTATACAAAATAGATAACAAGGAAAAGTTGGACAGGAATAGACAATCCAAGGTGGCTGAGAGCATTGTGAAAGTAAATAGCTAAGGCAAGCAAGAACCAGAGCAAAAGGTAAGCAATACGTGTGTTAGGAATTTTTTTTTAACAGAGAGGAATGTTTACAATCAATTTTTCTGAGTAATGAATAATATATCCTATAGGCTTCACAATACTTCTACATTATCACCCTGCCTATTCCAAAACAAATCAGAATTTTCATATGAAATCAAGACAAGTTAGCAAACAGTAATTCCAAGATTAGACATTTGGATGGCCTATTCCATCCTCAAAAATTTTAATGTAAGATATTATGATACATTTTGGGGGAGAAAATCATTTGCTTTAATATATGGGCACACCCTAGGATTCATGCCTCTAATGCATGTGTAATCCCAGGGTACTTAACACACTTGAAAACATATTTGTATGCAGTAGAGAAACAATAAATGTAAAATACACAAAAATCAATCTGAAAGTGATAAATCTTAGATATCTAGTGAATTCTTTAATTAGGTCAGTGTTAAAGTTGAAGTTTTGGCTTGCTTGTATGTACTTTCAGAAAGTTCTTTATGCTTTCAAGTAAACGGTTAGAGGATTGAGAAGTGTTTTTTCTTTCTGGTGGGGAACTTCGGGTTGAGTGAGGTATGACTGACCATTTATTTTTAACACAAGCGCTAGGCTAGTAAATCCACCATAGATTTGTCGCAGATGTAGCATGCTTGGCTTTTAGCAATGCATTTGACAAAAGTCTTTGCACCCTATGATTATAGACAAGATAAAGAGATGTGGTTGGATTGTGAATGTCCAGGATGGAGCTTACAATCTAATAGGGGAGACAACAAACAGCTAAATATATACAGGATAAAAAGGAGATAATTAACAGAGGGAAAGCACTGGAATTGAGGAGTTAGGGAGGGCTTCCAGTAGAAGGTGGGATTTTAGTTGGGGCTCAAAGAAAGGCAGGAGACGGAGACAAGGAGGGAGAGTATTCCAGGAATGGAGGACAGAGACAATAGCTGTAAAGAGCTTTGCAAACCTTAAAGTGATAAAAATGCTACTATTAGTTGTTATTATTATTATTATCATTATCATTATTATTATTATTACATGCCTGAAATGCTTTAGGCTCCTAGGAGAAAAAGAAATATTAGGAAATGTCCGACAAAAAAGAAGCCGCTGAAATATCACTAGGCCTTTAGCACAAAGAGCACCCCCCCATCTATATTTTGTCTCATTTCCACATTCCTCCCCGCCCCCATCGCCTGTTGTAGTTCCCTTCTGCGCCTGCGCAGTATACCACGTTACGTGCCCGGGATGTAGCCGGGCGCTGCTTTTTCCTCCAGGAGGGGATTAGCTGGAGGGAGGGCAGCAGCGCGCGTGCGCGGCAGTGCGCGCGTCACATTCCTAGTCCCTACCTGCTACTTTGAGCGGCTCTCTGCGGCCGGGTAAGGAGTCCTCGCGCCTGATGACTTTTGAGACTGAGTCTCCCATCATGCCAGTAGTCAAGCGAGGCCAGAAACCGTGGAGCAGTCTCCCAGAGTTTGCGATCCGAGACAGCATAGACAGGGTCGGGGGTCGAGGGTCGAGAGTCGAGAGTCGAGGGGTGGGCGGGGCGAGCGGGCCGGGCGGGGCTGGGGAAGGGGCGGGGTGCAGCCCCGGGCAGGCGCGAGACTGTGCGCGTGCAGCCCGGGCTGGATGCTCTGCAAAGTCTAAGCGAGGGAGTTCTTTTGCCTTAAAGCGGAGTTGTGTAAACTATTTCACAAGGGTGGTGTGCTGGATCTTCCGAGGGGAGGAGCTGATGCTGCATCCAGGGTTTTTTCTTTGGGTTGGGCTTTGTGGACGGGTTTAGGATTCTTGTGTCTTAAGCTATTTAAGGACAGAGGTCACAGGCGGTGAACATTTGTACTGAATAGTTGACCACGTCTGGCTTGCCCTAGAAAAGACAGTACTGGACTAGCTGTTAGGGAACCTGGGTTCAAATTCTGGCAGATTAGCTCACTGATGAGAAAATTACGCTTTCTCCATTTCCCAGAGGAAAATGAGATTCTTCCCACTTAGACCCACCTCCCGTCCCCCACCCCCGACCCAACTGTGAAAATCTGAATTCTTTGGTGCAAGTCAACTATTATTTAAGCGCCTAATGTTTCTAGGTATATAAAGAAAAAGAGAGAAAGTGGTGAAGGAAAAGAATGCTACTTTTGGAATCAAAGAACCTGGGTTTGAATCCCACTCTGACATTTATTGCCCTTGGGATCCTGAGCAACTCACTTAATTTCTCTGGCTTCAGTTTTTTTAATTTGTAATATGAGGCGCTTGGGACTAATGACATCTAAGGCCCCTTCCAATTCTATGTGATTTTTTTTTTTCTAAACCTGTCACTGACACCCATCTGTGACTTGTGGCAAATCACCCTTTCTGGAGCACCATTACCCCATCAGTAAAATAAGGTTAATATTACTTAACACCACCTATCACACAGGATTGTGGGGAAAGTAAGACTTGGGTTGCTAAAGAAACAGGAACCAGTATTTTACCCAATACCTCCCTGTAACACTGGTGCTGGCATTTATTATGTGCCAGGCACTGTACTAGTTGGTAGTAGGATACATAGAAGAAAATGTACAAGTCCTTGCCCTCTTGGAGTTAATATTTGTTGGAGACAACCTGGAATTGACCAGCAATTGATTAATGATGATGACTTATATAGAGTGATTTAAAGTTTGCAAAGCACTTTAAATACATATTCTTATTTAAGCTCTACACTGTGGAAGCACTAAAATCCCTTTATTTCAACTAAAAATATTAAGAAACGATGCTTTCCCCTATATCAGATTATGCTCGGTCTTGGGGAGGGTGGTGGGGAGGAAGGGGGAGAAAAATTTTAAACTCAAAAGCATATGGAAGTGATTGTTGATAAATCAAAATAAATTAATAAAAAAAAAAAGAAAGAAATTATGCTTTCCACAGCCTAAAACCCTTCCTGACTTTTTCCTTTTGGAAGAGGGGTTAGGTCAAAAACAAAAGGCCTTTCTTAGGAAAATAGTTAAGGGTAAGAACCAAACTTTGTACAACAGAGTATCACTTTTCCTGTTAAGCTTATGGCCTTTTCCCTGGTTATATGGCCTGTGACCTATCCAAGGGAAGAGCCCTTTTTTATTCTCATTCAGAAAGGATTATAATATTTTTAATCATTTTAATCTGTAAAGTGAGTAGTCAGTTAAAAAACAGAGTAGTTCAAGGTCCTGACTGTAGTTCTGGAATGTTATACCAAAACTGTATTTTAACAAACATTTTCCTTGTTCCAGATCCCTATAAACGTTACCTCAAATTGTCTTGGACGTCTTGGAGATGTCTGAGGGCATGATTGGTGGACTGTACCAATTTAGATATGTCTTTAAGCTAGAAAATGCTTCCATTTAGAATGTTAATAAAAGTGCTTCTGGCAGACTTGCCTAAAATGCATAGCATAGCATTAACAGTTTTTCCTTTGACAACAGCCCCATGAGGTAGGTGTTATCCCCATTTTACAGATGAGGAAGTGGGCCCAAGAGTAAGTGGCTTGCCCAGAGTCAGGACTTAGATTCCTGTCTTCCTCAATCCAAGCCCAGCACTCTAACCACTCTGTATCCCCTTGTGTACTCAGAATTGCCATTAAGATTTTAGGAATCCTGCTTTAGGAGCATTAAAATTTACCCTTACCAATTAATCATAAGCTAATGGCTTAACAATTACCTAAAGTGAAAACAGAGCAACTATCCAGTGACTTGGAACCACTGCATCTCTGCCTCTTAACTGTGGCAAAAGGTAGAGACACACCAACTTTGCACCAGGAAGACACTTTATAAATTAGTTATTAGCGGGAAAGTAACAGCAGAGTTCATCAGAGTCATCCAGGCATACTTAATAGCATTTCATGGTGATATTAGAACATTTTTTTATTTCTCAAATGGAACTTCATTTTGTTATTACAAATAAACACAGTCCTCTGGCCTTTGTCTCACTTGCTAATAAGACTTCTATAAGATGGAGCCAAATAAATAACTTAGGGGTCCCAGAAGTAAGTTTTTGGCATAATACAAATGTTTTCTCAAAATGAGTGGCTAATCTCTCAGATCAATGGGAGGCACATCTTCTCCATTAATATTTATTGTCAAAGAGAAAGTTGATGTCTTGGACTAGATTGTCTCCAAGGGGGATTGCTACCTCTTGTGTTTTAATGTAGTCTCTGACTTGACAGGTGTGCAATAGAATAACCCCACAAGTATCCTAGAGCAAATAATTACAGTTTAGCAAGAAATAGTAAAGTTGACTGACTTTTGTTTTTTCACTACAGATGTTTTCCTGACCAATGAGAACCTCAGGGTTTAGTAGTATTTTTTCCCCACTCCCTTAATTATAGTGTCAGTTCCAAAGCTCTGGTTCCAATCCTCCCTCCACATCCCTCATCCTCTTTCTTCCCCTCCCCCCCACCTTGGAAGCAGCCTGCCCTGGTTCTTAAAGACTTCAAAAGGTCAAATCTCCATTAGGCGAGTGAAGCATTGAGGCAATTATCCTGACAAGCAAATTTTTAAAAGCTTTTATTTTATTAGTTTTTGATGGATTATTGGTCAGCTGAGTTTCTTGATTTGTTTTTCCTATTTTTTGGTAATTGATTACATGAAGTTAAAGAAATATATTTTAATGAGGAAAATTTAGCTCTGATTCTATAAAAGAAGAAATGATAGTATAAGTTATATGGCTTGAATACTGACTTAAGGACCTATAAATTATACATTCTAATAAGTTTTACAAACAGTTTTTAACAATAGGAGTAATCATGTCTCAGAATTGACTGTATGAGACAATAGTAGAAGTAGTAATATCTCTGAACTGACCTCATGAGGCAGATAGCTCCATCTCTCAGCAAGGGTTTGATTTCTTCTCCCCTTCCTCCTTCTCACTCCTACTATCTATATTTGGTGGGTATCTTAAAGATCATCTGGTGAAGCCCACTTTTTAAAGATAAGGAAACTGAGTCCCAGGGAAGGGAAGTATCCCAAGGTCATCCAAGTTTTCAGTCAGTAGAAGAATTTATACTCAGATCTTCTTTACCCTTCAGACCTTGTCATTGTGATTTCTTTTTAGTTTTGGGTGAGCAGGTGATGGACAACTCTAATACTCAGTTACCTATGACCAGCCCTAGTCTCTCTCTTGAGATCTACTCAAGCATCTCCAACTGCCTGCTAGATATGTCAGACTGGATGTCTTGAGAGTGTCTAAAACTCACCATGTACACAACTAAACTCAATGTTTTCCCCCAAAATTACCGTCTTCCAAATTTCCCTATTTCTGTTGAGAGCACTATCCTAGTGTTAGCCTTGCCTCTTCACCCTCCTTCCTCCCACATATCCAGTGAGTTCTATCCCCACAGTGTCACTTGAATCTGTCTCCTCTTTACTCAAGTAGCTACCTCCCCAGTTCAGGCCTTTGTCACCCTTGTCTGGATTATTATAATAGCCTCCTAATTGGCCTCCCTACCTTGAGTCTCTCCCCTTCCTAATGCATCGAACACAAATGCCAAATCGATTTTCATAAAGTCCTGACCAGGTCACTATTGGTGACTCCCTCTCAACTCCAGGAACAAATATAAAATTCTCTATTTGGCTTTTAAATTGACTTGCAGCCTGGCCTCTTCCTCCCTTTCCAGAGCTTTTTTACTTTATTTCCCTCTGCACACTGATCTGGTGGCACTGGCTTTTCCAGCTCTGCCTTTTTACTGACCTACATGCCTAGAACAAAGACTTTCCCTCTGGCTTCCTTCACAGCTTAGTTCAAGTCTCAAAACTTAACTGGAAAAGGCATTTTCTCATTCTCTTCCAAGAAGTTTTTTTTTTCTTTTTACTTTGTTTGATCATGTCTTTTTTGTTTTTTTATAATTAATTTATTTTCTGTTTTCAACATTCACTTCCATAAGATTTTGAGTTTTTCATTTCTTCCCTACCCTTTCCTCCCCTGCTCCCCAAGACAGCGTGCAATCTGATATAGGCTCTACTTGTACATTTATATTGTACATATTTTCACATTAGTCATGATGCAAAGAAAAATTAGAACTAATGGGAGGAACCATGAGAAAGAAGAAACAAAACAACAAAAGAAAAGGAGAGCAAATAGTATGCTTCCATCTGCATTCAGAATCCACAGTTCTTTCTCTGAATGTGGATAGCATTTTCCATCATGAGTCTTTTGGAGTTGTCTTAGATCCTTGCATTGCTTAAAAGAGCTAAGTCTATCAAGGTCAGTCATCACACAGAGTGGCTGTTACTGTGTACAATATTCTCCTGGTTCTGCTCATTTTACTCATTATCAGTTCATATAAGTCTTTCCAGGTTTTTCTGAAGTCTGCCTGCTCATTTTTTCTTATGGAACAATAGTATTCCATTACATTCACATACCACAACTTGTTTAGCTATTCCCCAATTGATGGACATCTCTTCAATTTCCAATTCTTTGCCACTACAAACAGAGCTGCTATAATTATTTTTGTACATGTGGGTCTTTTTCCCATTTGTGTGATCTCTTTGGGATACAGACCTAGAAGTGGTATTGCTGGGTCAACAAGTATGCATAATTTTA